TTTAAACACTGCCCTCTAATGTGCATACTCCGCTTCCTCTGAAATGATAAGAGGACTGTGCTAATAAAAATAATCAGCTCCTTCCTCCCTTGTGACCGGTCTAGCATTTTTGTCCTGTGGACCAGATTTCATAGACTGAGGCAATTTCAACCACATAACTGTCAGAGTGTATTAAAGTAAATTTCTCAGCCGTTCTAAGATTACTCTCATCAGCAATAAGGCCAACATGTGAGTGAGAACAGATTATTTGGGCTTGGACAGCACTAACAAAACAGCAATACCACTGGGAAACATCAAGAAAGTCTAGGACCCCAATCATAACATGTGCAACTTTAGACTGATATAATCAGACTTATTAAAAATAAAAAAAATTGATTACCAAGAATATCAAACTTCTAAAAAACAGATGAACCTTGTTCTATATATACCCAAATTGATGACTCATAAATGACTTTTGCTTTCAAAAGAATCCGTTGAAATTTAGACTCCTTGACTAGTAAATTTGTTTCCACCATTGCAAATAAGATTAACAACAAATGAAAGAGAAAGGCAAAAATATATTATTCTCAAATAGAGCTGTTCAGCGTCTCATAATCACAAGATCCACGTCATCATTTAACAATGATATGAAAAGCATAGAGGCACTTAATATTAAGTCAAGAAGCCTAAGTTTTAAACCCATCTGGGTGACCTTAGGTCCCTTAGCCATCCTAGATCTGTTTCATTATCAGGAAATAGAGGGGAATGAATTGTAGAGATGTTATTCTAGTGATTGCCAGGAGGTGGGAATGGAGGGAATTACAGAATATTGAGAGGTACTTTTTCAGATTACACATGCCTCTGCCCCTCATCCCTTCAACCCCCATCCCTATCACGGAGAAGCATGTGATAGACCCATTCCTCCTTAGCCAAGAATTACTGAATTATATAAGGTATCTCGAAGTCTCTTTACCACATTAAAATGTTAATACAGAATTTGAGAACCAGAAGAAAACTTAGAGATTCTCCAATCATTAAGTCAAGGACCAGAAGAACTTTTGGCCCTGTTCTTATAACTACGTTTAGTTATAAATGTGAAACTTTGGGGAGTGTGAGGCTTCCCAAATCGATTAGTACTTTATTTGGATGGATGATGTGATGAAATACATTATTTTTCCCAATCTTCACCCTTCTTGAAATCCACGTCCTTTGCTATGTGACTTTGTAGTTCCTCCCACTAGAGTAGAATATATTTCACCATCCATTGGTGTTGGGTTTGGCCACGTGACTTGCTTTGACTCGTGGCATGCCAGCAGATGTGATGTGAGCAGAGGCATTGAATGTGCCTGTGGGCTCCCACCTTTCCCTGTGAGGAGAATGAGCATTTGGTAGCCGCTGGTCCAAAGAAGATAATGGACATACAGAGCAAACCAGGCTCCAATCCTCAACTTAGAGTCAAACCCAACCAGTCTATATCAACTGAACCTAGGCCAATCACAGACATGGGAAAGAGAAATACAAATTTATTGTCATATAAGATTTTACACTTGTTAGTTATACAGCATTTTTATGGTACTAGGGTAATTCAGAAGATAACAATTTTCCTATATTAATATTTTAAACCTCAATAATTGTGAGAGTCTAAAGAAAAATATCACCCTCTCTGTGTCACACATATAAATATTGTTATATAGACACAAAAATGAAAATATGATTACAGATCTATAAAATAGATCATTTTAAAAAGAATAGATCTCGTGGCAAAGAGTCATCTACCATGTACAAAACCTCTTAATCTCATTCAGTACAGAAGTTAACAATTACTACAGCTCTTCTTCCTATCTAAAATAATAACAATCAGCCCAACATTGTAGTTATAGCTTAGTTTATCTGAAGACACCACTACATAGACAATTACACTGTGAAAGCAAAGTATTACACCTCAATTAACTGGAATGCCCAGAAATAGGAGTATTTTAGTTATTATATTATTAATAATAAATATTTTTAAAACAACATATATTTTGTGGCTTTTTACAGTAAAGAAGATTTTTAGATATATATTTTAAGATGAATTTACTGAAATATATGGAGTAAAGTTTTTGTTTAGTTTCTTTTTAAAATCTTTTTAAATGCACTAGTTCCTTGTCCTGCCTTAGGAAAAGACCTAAGGCATAGTGACATATGACCACAATTGAATATTTGCTTCATGGTACAGGCTATTTTGGTATCTTAAGGCAAGGATCACTGTATAGTGCTATCAATAAGCTATAGAAGAAACAACTGATTAGGCCAACTATGCACTGACTATCCTCTGAAAGTTTCTTTGGAAAATGTAAGCATAATATTCACCACTTACCAATGCATAAAAAAAATTGCAGCTATTAAAAATTCCTTCTAGTTCTGACTACTCATTCATTGATTTAAGGAACTGCTTGCTGTTCAGCCCCTACCATGTGCTCCGCACTATGGGTAGAACCGGGAATAGAACAACAGCCTGCAGGAGAGTAGGGGGGAAAGGCAAGTAAAGAGGCAAGTACAAAATGTGATAGGGAACACCCAGCTGAATCTTCAGGGATAGAGAAACTGCACAGAAGTGATGACATCTGGCCGGGCACAGTAGCTCATGCCTGTAATCCCAGCACTCTAGGAGGCCCAGGCAGGAGGATAGCTTGAGCTCAGGAGTTCAAGACCAGCCTGAGCAAGAGCAAGACCCCGTGTCTACTAAAAATAGAAAAAATTAGCCAGGTGTGGTGGTGAGCGCCTGTAGTCCCAGCTACTCAGGAGGCTGAGGCAGGAGGATTGCTTGAGCCCAGGAGTTTGAGGTTGCTGAGAGCTAGGCTGACGCCACAGCACTCTAGCCTAGGCAACAGAGCAAGACTCTGTCTCAAAAAAAAAAAAAAAGAAAGGAGAACTGACAAGACAAAAAAAAAAAAAAGAGAAAGAAGAAGTGATGACATCCAAGCTAAGATGTAAAGGACAAGGAGAGAGTAACCAGGTGTGGTGGCACAACAGTGTTCCAACCAACGGAAACATCATGTGCAAAGGATGTGAAGTGAGAGAGAGCATAGTGAATTTCAGAAATGCGAGTAATTCTGATCCATATGTGCTTTACACATTATGCCTTTCTGCTTAACCTATGTATGAAAATGAACACTTCTGCACTTAGCTTCCAGGAGATTCTCCTCCCACTTCATTCAATTCCTTCTTAGTCTCCTTCACTGTGTCACCATCTCCCAATCATCCGGTCATTGGAGTGCATCAAGCTCAGCCCCTCAAACTCTCCGTTCTCTACACTCATTCTCCAAATTATCTCACCCAGGCTTCAAATTTGCCCATAACTACTAAATTTTACATCTTCCCTGAACTCCTGACTCTTAGATTCAATCCTTTGCCCTGCACCTCCACTGAAATAACTAACAGGTATCTCAAGCAAGATGTGTACAAAACCGGACTCTTGATATTTTCCCCACCAAAACTTCTTTCCAGTTTTGTTCATCTCAGTAAATAGTGATTCCATTCTTCTAATTGCCCAGGCCAAAACCTTAGAGTCATCCTTAACACCACTCTTTCTCAAGACTCATATATTATCCATGAATAAATCCTAACCACACTATCTTGGATATTCAGAATCCTATCACCCATCAACTCCCTGCACCACGACTACCCTAATTCGAGTACCATTATCTCTAGCCTGGAATATTTCAACAGCTTCAGAGTTGTGCTTCTTCTTCCACCTTTGTCCTCCACAGTCCATTCTCAACACAGTACCTAGAGGGATTCTTTTAGAAATATGTCAGATCACATCATTCTTCTGCTCAAATCCTCCATTAGCTCATAACCTTATTCAGAGTAAAAGCCAAATTCCTTCAAAGTAGCCCACAGGCCTTTTATTAATACCACCTTGCTAACCAACCTCTCCCTGATTTTCTTCCTGTGACACCTGCCTTGCTCACTCTGCTTCAGCCACTCGGCATTGCTGGTCCTCAAACACCCCCAGCACTTTCTTGCCTCAGGTCCTTTGCACTGGGTGTTTGCCCTGCCTGAAACCACTTTGCCAGTAGCTGTGTGGTTCATTCCTTTACTTTATGCAGGTCTTTGTTCCAATCTCAGCTTATAGGTGAAGACTTCTCTCACCTCCCAGCATAAAATAGCTCCTCCTTACCCCACCCTCTTGCCCCGCTCTGTTTTTCTCTTTAGCCTTCATCGCTATGAGACTCCATTACCAACAAAAAAAAAGTGCTCACCTATTTACTATCTATTTTCCTAACCTAAAGTATAAATCCCCTAGAGAGCATAGATGTGTTTTATAACTCCCCTATCCCAGAAGCTTAGAATACTGACTGGCAGATGATAGGCCTGTAGTAAATATTTGGTGGATGAATGAATAAAAACTGAAAATATGATGAATTTTTCTCACAAAAACTATACATAATTTTCTATTTTTTAGTTATGATATAACTTTTCTATATTACATCCCTAAGTAATACTTAAGTACTTGTATGTAAAACTAAGTAACACTACAACTTTTTTCCCTATAGCATAGACACACACACACACACACACACACACACACACACACGAGGTTCACTGGCAAGGGCTGAACAATAGGAAAACTTTGTAGCACTCTTTTCCTTTCCTTGGCTTAGTGCTTCTGAATATATTGAAGGGATATGTTGAGCTTCTATGTTATCTTCAAGCCAATTAATATTTCACCTATAATTGACCTATATACGAATTAATAACAGTACTTTGTAAATATTTGTAAAACATCAATATAAAAACTGCCAAGACTATAGGCAGACAATTCAAAGAAGAAATACAAATAGCCAATAAATTTATGAAAATGTTCATTTAGGTTAGTGTTCCTTAATAGTTAGTGTTCAGCAGCCTAAAGGGCCTGAGTAAAGGAAAAGCAAAATCACTTCCAGGAAACCAATACCAGCAAGAGGTTCCTTATAGAAATAGGAAAACGTGAAATTGGAAAACCCACTCCCTATAGGAGTGTGGGGATGGAATACCTGTGATGGAACAATAGACGATGTGAGGAGCGATCTTGTCTATATCTTCGTATCCCAGGCCCATAGCAGACAGTTTGCCAGGGACGTAGTTTTCCACAAATACATCACAAACAGCTGCAAGCTGAAGGAAGAGGTGAAAATGAGTCAGGCTTCCAAACTTTCAACAAATCCCAACAGGATAGAATTTTAATTTCAGTATACACAATTGATCCTCACTTTGTAGCAGTCCAGAAAAATCACAGGAGGCAGATGAAGCAGAATCAGATAAACATAAAAACCCTGGCCAACTACTTGAAGTATTACTGTCAGCAAAATCATGGTTATTAAATTTTTGTAATACATGGTATTGAATGGATCCTGCTTCCTTTAAATGTAGCCTAGATAAAGAAATATCTACGCTATGTGGTCTGTCCAAATATACCCTTAAAAGGTTAGGTAGAAAAATTAGAATATAAGTACATAAAATATACGAAAAATGTCTTTTAAAACCTTTACAAAAAAACTAAATACCATGTCTACTACTCTCCATCCCTATCATGTAATACTCCTCATTATAACATTCACTTAATACATGTAAACACGATTCTGAAATGCTCTCATACTTTTCAGACACTCTCTTTCCAATGAGTTTTAAATGTATTTAATGAACCATCAGAGTTTTTCTAGAACTACTAAACTATTGCCCAGTGAACCAATAACTGTCAGAAATAGGATACAGATTTTGACTCCCAGAACACTGTTATAGGAATTAGAGGACAATGAACCATTGTAAAGCTTAGTTTAATTCTTTTTCAAAATTTCAATTGTGACTGCATACCTTTTAAAGTCTTTTTTTAAATCATCACAAAAATTGTACTAGTTCACTCATATAGATTCATTACAGTAATTCTTGAACACATCCAGGAGCCTAATAACTATTCAATATTTTTTTTAATTTCCTTGTTAACATAGATTTAGATATTGATTTAGATATTCACACATATACAAACTAACATAATAGAATAAGACTCTAGATTGGGGTGGGCAAACCTTTCCTATGAAGGTCAAATAGTAAATATTTCAGGCTTTGCAGGCCATGAACATTCTCTGTCACACGTTCTTTATTTTTCTTTAACAATCTTTAAAAATGTAAAATCCATTCTTAGTTCATGGGCCATACAAAAACAAGCCTGACTTCGCCCATATAGTTTGCCAACATTTGCTCTAGATGGAAAGGTTTGAATTAACATAAACTTTAGATGTACACATGTAAATAAATTGAGTATCTGTTATTATGTGAATATAATGTACTAAATTTGGAGTATATATATAGAATTATCTGACCTAACAAAATTGGAGGCAAGGTGGATCTTAGGAAGCATCTCAAGGAAATAAGCTGTCATCATCCAGAATACTTGAAACCAGAGGCCCAGGTGACCACTTCTCAGGAGAACCATACAAATATATTAAGATATAGGACAGAGATAGAAAGGTTTCCAGTATGCACCTCAAATATCAAGCCATAGAGGCATCCTTTCCAAATTTCAGGTGCCAGTTAACAACTGAGCTTCTTTTCACACGGCCAACTCCATATAGCATGCTCCAGGATGAGCCCCAATAGAAATACATTTATTTACGACTAATGATTCTGCCAAACATTGCCTGGCAGGTTGAAGGGCAGGTGTTAGTATTAAATAAAACATGGACTTCAGTTACACTTTAATTTATTCCATAAATTTTTCTAAGTCTCTATCTACTACTTACAAAGCACTTCTGCAGGCACTAAAGAAAACAAACTGCGTGATGTATAGCAAAATGCCAAGATTGTTTCATCTAGACATATGATAAGTGAGCGTTCATTAATTGTTCTTTCAACTTTTCTGAATGTTTTAATTTTTTATAATAAAATGTTGGAGGAAAACAAAATCCATGGCATTGTTCTGCTGACCACAATACATGCCCATAATAGGGATATTGTGACTGTCCACTAATTAACATAAAGAATTATTTGAAATATCAGATGACACATGTTCAAAAGTTATCAAATCATATTGCCATGAAAATACTAGGCTCCACACAGATTTTGTAAGCAGAGCTTTGCTTTTTACACAACCTGGTTTTGGTTAGCCTGGTTGACAAAGGAGTCATACTTTTTGGAGCTCTCATGTGTCCAGCTGATTGCCTTGTATAATACTTTGGAACTGTTTCTATGAACTAGACTCATTATATTAGCAATCATAGCCACCAAGGTCTGAATGCAGGGGTTTTTTTGCTACTCTTAAGGCCAAAAGAGAAATCCGTGCCAGAAAGAATAGAAAAGACTGGAAAAAAAATAATTTTTTCCTCTAGGCAGTAAGATACATAACTTATGAATGGAGTAACTAGCTAAAAGCAATAGACATAAATAATGTCCCCAGGCAATCTGTTTAAGTTTAATATGAGTTGAAATGTACTTTATTGTTATCAATCAGACTTGAAGAGAAATCAAGCCCTTAATGACACATAATTTTAAATTGTTACAATCTGGTAGAGGACACCGGTGGGATCCAAGGGGGGTGGAAAGGAAGTACAGGCAATCCATTTATTTTGGTCAGAATTATACATGCAAGCTAAAATATCCATATGGACATTGATGTCTTAGTAGCAATAGTTATGAATTCCACCTATCACTGTCACATTGAGAAACCTTAATAAAAATGTAAAGTATTTTTTTAATCAAATCTGAAACCCTGACTACTCAGCAAAAATTATCAGAATGTTCTGCAATGGAACCAAAGAAGCAGGACTGTGAACACTGAAGACATTATCGAGAAACACAGAACAGAGAGAGAAATATTGAGGGTATAACAGTCTAATTAATTCTAACAATGGCCCTAAGATGTAGGTACAATTATTATCCCCAGTTTACTGATGAAAAAAACTGAAGCACAGGGCCAGGTGCGGTGGCTCACGCCTGTAATCCTAGCACTCTGGGAGGCCGAGGCGGGCAGATTGTTTGAGCTCAGGAGTTCGAGACCAGCCAGAGCAAGAGCGAGACCCCGTCTCTACTAAAAATAGAAAGAAATTAATCGGGCAACTAAACTATATAGAAAAAAATTGGCTGGGCATGGTGGCGCATGCCTGTAGTCCCAGCTACTCGGGAGGCTGAGGCAGAAGGATCGCTTGAGCCCAGGAGTTTGAGGTTGCTGTGAGCTAGGCTGAAGCCACGTCACTCTAGCCCAGGCAACAGAGTGAGACTCTGTCTCAAAAAAAAAAAAAAACTGAGGCACAAAGGAGTTCAGTCACCTGTCTGACATCATATAGCCAGTGAGAAGAAAAGGCAAGATTCAAGTTCCATGTGAAGCTACGCATCCTTAATCATTATGCCTCCCTGCCCCTCAAAGAAAGATGCTGAGATTGGGTGTGAATATATTGGCCATCTTAGTAAGTGTTAGAAAAAGTCTGGGCTCTCCACTGATGTGACCATGGTTCAAATATCAGCTTTTCCTCTTACTAGATAAGTAATCTTTGGGGGCATCAGCTAGATGCCATGAGACTAAATTCCCTTCCATGAATATGGGGATTCCAATGTTTCACTTACAAGTCTAATTCTGAGGATTAGAGGAGATAATATAAAGTAAAGTGCCCACGCCCAGGATCTGATGCAGAGTAGGCACTCAGTCAACAGTAACTAGTACTATAATTACACACAATGTACGAGAAATTATAAAGCATATTATACTTACTATAAAAATCAAGTTAAATTCTTGAAGGTCACAAGAAGTACAGATTATCACAAAAGCACAGATTGTCAATAAAATAAAGTTTTAAAACACTTTTACTCTGATGTTTAAATCACTAATTACAACCTAGGTGGTAAGATGCCTTCCCCAGAGCATACTGTACCTCTTTGATGATTTTCACCCCTTTTGGATTCTTGATATTAACAGCTATACTCTAAAAATTAAAATACATATATTAAAATACTATCATAAAGGTTTTTCTTATTAATGACAGTTCAACAAGAAAGCCTTTCATATCATAGATACTCCTCTTCAAGCAAATTTATTTTACTCATAATGAAATATTTAAATCATGTTTACTGATTTTATTTGCAATCAGGATTTGTTAGGATGATAGCAAGGATTATAGTAGATGTTTTCCAATAATAATAGCAAGTGTTAAGCAATTAGCATTCTCCAAAAGAATAACAAATGTAAAGAATCAAATCATTTCTCTTTCATAAAATTATTTCCATTATATATATTTTTTTAATATAGGAAAAAAATGCTAATTTCCTTCTATTTTTTAGTAGAGACGGTGTCTCACCCTTGCTCAGGCTGGTCTCAAACTCCTGAGCTCAAACGATCCTCCTGCCTCAGCCTCTCAGAGTGTTAGGATTACAGGCGTGAGCCAGCACGCCCAGCTTCCGTTATAAATTCTAATGAAATGTTTTAAGTTACTTAGTAGAGAAGGAAGATTAGTGAAAAGATCTATAGTTTCTATTTGGTGACTGGTGAATGAATAAAATTTCACCTTATTTGAAATATTAGTTACATCTACAAAAAAAGAAAAAGAAACAAGCAATAATGATATCAAAAATGTTGTTATAGGCCGGGCGCGGTGGCTCACGCCTGTAATCCTAGCTCTCTGGGAGGCCGAGGCGGGAGGATCATTCTGAGCTCAGGAGTTCGAGACCAGCCTGAGCAAGAGCGAGACCCCGCCTCTACCAAAAATAGAAAGAAATTAATTGGACAGCTAAAAATATATATAGAAAAAATTAGCCGGGCATGGTGGCGCGTGCCTGTAGCCCCAGCTACTCGGGAGGCTGAGACAGTAGGATTGCTTGAGCCCAGGAGTTTGAGGTTGCTGTGAGCTAGGATGACGCCACGGCACTCACCCCAGGCAAGAGAGTGAGACTCAGTCTCAAAAAAAAAAAAAAAATTTTGTTATGACAAAATTTTTGTCAAAAAGAGAATTACTCTATGAAAGCAAAAAAGAGATGATGTCTTACTTTTTTATTTCGGTTAACACTGAGAAAATATGTACTTTCTGTCCCCACAAAAGGTGGCCCCCAAGTACGTGTATCATCACCAGTTCCTGAAAAAAATAATATGAACTATTAATCTTTAATTCTGAAACATCATGAGACATTTCAAATAAGCTCACTCGTGATAGATATTCCACAGGCGCCTGAGCAAGATCAGCTCAGCGCAGTGGAATCAGCAGCCTACAGGGAGCCATAGGAGCTTGTTAGAACTGCCCAAGCTCTTTGCCTGTTCATGTTAATCACTAAATCTTTCCATAGCCTCTTTCACTAAGTTCCATTACTGAAAGTCAAAATCTCGAAGAAAATATCCTACTGGCAGTCTTTAGATTTAATGAACAGCAAATATCACGGGTACAAAAATTACTGTCAGTTTTTGGCAAGCAAGTCAGCTCTTTCAGTGTTTCTTCGCATTGAATGTACAAGAAAATGCTGAGTCTGCAAAAGATTTTTGTGAAATACAATTTAAATCAGAATAATGATGTGCGAGTCTTTATGATAAAGGGGCATCTGGGGCTAGGTATAGAATAGTGACTAACAAGTCTACAAAATATTTCTGTAGCAACAACAAATCAGAAAGGCAAGTTAAGTTACTAAACAGGAAATGCCAATTTAAAATACTATTTTAGAATAAAATTTTAGTTGTCTAGGTCTTGCTTCGAAGTAAAAGTCTAAAAACATTTAAAAATAGGGTATTTTGTTCTGGATTCTTGAATTCAAGTAATTCTGAAGTGTATTCATGTCTGATTCAAAGATAACACTGCAGAATTACAGAAAAAAGAATTTTCTTTGTGTAAAAAGCAAAGGCAAAGAATGTAAATAGAACTCAGAAGTGAATCAATAATTAAATGGCACAAAATAGTATCACTTAAATTAATATTTTTACAATATAAGTTCTGATTAAATATTGATAAAAGAAACTAATCACTATATAGGTAATTACAATTAAAGTATTTATCACTAGCCCCCCCAAAAGAGAGAATTTGTGAATGTGGGTTAAAGTTTTAAACTCTAATCATTTAAAAGATGTAATTAATTTATTAGCCATTAGATTTTAACCACTGAAATTGAACAAGAAAAACATAGTCTTTTCAAAAAAAAAAAAAAAAAAGTGAATGTGGGTTAAAGTTTTAAACTCTAATCATTTAAAAGATGTAATTAATTTATTAGCCATTAGATTTTAACCACTGAAATTGAACAAGAAAAACATAGTCTTTTCAAAAAAAAATAGAGGCTAAAGAATAAACTCATTTATTAAAAAGCACACATGAGAAAAAGAGTACAGAGGAGAGAGGAGAAAAGAAGCATTAGTTGTGTCATTATTGGTTCATCTTATTGGAGATGAAATAGATGAAACAAAGCAATAAATGCTAACTAAGCAGAATGGCATGCTCAAAAAAAAAACATCAGGGGGGAAAAGGAACTACAAGAGTCCTCAAGGGCAACCTCCCAGAAACAAACCAGTCAAAAACCTCACGGGAAATGTGTGTGTGAATATGAATCTTCAGTCTCAGAGTCACAAGACAGTCCAGCCTCTTCCATTTTTTTTGAAACTCCCAATATATTAAAAATTTTTTAAAAGAAAGAATCAACGCTAAGATAAAGCTAAAATTAGTTTATTTTAAATGTTTGCATTCATTTCTCTGGTGGAGATATGTCAGAAGTCTAAATTGGAGGTCTAAAAGGCTTTCCTTTCCCTGCCATCTGCCTTCTCCCAGGCAGAAGGATCCATGCCCATGGCACATGACAGGACATGTAGGGTTAAAGGTCACAAATTGGTAAAACTGGCAGCTTGAGAGACGTGTTTGACCCACACAGTTTTTAAAGTTTACAACTAGCTGCCATGATTTCAAAACCTGGACATCTCTTACAGAAATTCACACTGCCTTTCTTAGATGGCCTTTCAACACATTCATCCATTCAGCAAATATTTATTGGGCACCAACTACATCAGAGACGCTGCTTTGTGCATAGCAGACACAACACTGAACAAAAGACCAACATCCCTGGGCTCATATTAGCCTAGTGGGGACAATCCCGGAATTTTAGCAGCAGCATCTGCCATTCCCAGCCTACTTCCCTCGCTTAGGCATACAGATTACACCCACTGACTGGCTTCCTCTAAAAACAGAAGAAGAAAATTATACTTAAGTTTGATATGCTCTTTGATTACACAAATAAGAATAATCTAAGTCCTAAGTCAGAAAACTATAACTAAAGTTTATGTAACTGAAGAGCTGGAGAAGTTGACACAAAAAGAGACTAGTTCTCTACTAAAATTTGAAAATACCACCAAGTCACTTTTAACGAAAGCCACTTTTTCTCATATTCATGTTGAATAACTATCTCAAAAACTCAAAACAATTAAATATATAATATGAACATTAAAAAGTATTGGGCAGGAGATTAAGAGAAAGGGAGTAATCAGTCAAGAAAAGAGCAATAAACACCTGCTAGGACCAAAATCTGATGCCAAGTGTACGGTGATGGGACATAATAAAGGCCTAGACAAAGAAAGGTCTCTCCCATGGTGCAAACTAAAAAAGTACAAAGGAGAAATAGGTTTAAGTATATAGGAAATAAGGATTTATAAAATTAATATAAATACAAATATTAGCTTGGTGACCAACTGAAATAACAAGAGAAATTAGAGTGAATACTCTAAGAATAGAAGATGCAAGAAAACCAATGACTGAAATCAGGAAGTGCTGTCGTGTTGAAATCAGACAGCAATGTGAAAATTAGAAACTTAATTGAAACTGGAAAAAAAATAGTCAGTATCCAGCAATGATCAAAAGTAATGAACATTATTGACTGAAAAAATGAAGCATTTTTTCTGGGAAGCAGGACTCGCCAGGCACTTCTACCACCTGGCACTGAGAGGCACAGGGTCAGATAATTAAAATGTAATAAATATAATATAATAATACACAATATTCCCCGTGCTTATCAGAGAATATTCTGCTAACTGCTTTGGCCTCTTAAGAAGATCTATTTAGCAGGAAATTGAATCTGCCAGATCGAGTATTCTACTTTATAGGGCTTAACAGTTATGGTAAATTAATAAGTTGACTTAATCATAAATTAGTCTCTTGTGAGTCTTATAGATATAAGCACTCTATTCAGCACCAAACCAGTCTTAATGATTAGAGAATTCTATTCCAGACCCAAAAGGATCAGATCTTGAAGAATAAACAATAATAGGAATTGTTGAAAACTTCCAAAACAAGCTATTCATAGGATGATGCAGAGCAGTGGTCCCCAACCTTTTTGGCACCAGGGACCAGTTTCATGGAAGACAATTTTTCCATGGACCAGAGTGGGAAGCGGAGGGGTGGGAAGGATGGTTTCAGGATGATTCAAGCACATTACACTTACTGTGCAGTCAAATCTCTCTGCTAATGATAATCTGTATTTGCAGCTGCTCCCCAGTGGTACCATCACCATCTCAGCTCCACCTCAGATCATCAGGCATTAGATTCTCATAAGGAGCTTGCAACCTACATCCCTTGCATGTGCAGTTTACAGTAGGGTTCTACTCCTATGAGAATCTAATGCCACCGCTGATCTGACAGGAGGTAGAGCTCAGGCAGTGATGGGGAGCAGCTGTAAATACAGTGAAGCTTAGCTCGCTCATCTGCTGCTCACCTCCTGCCCTGCAACCCAGTTTCTAACAGGCCACGGACTGGTACCAGTCTGCAGCCTGAGTGTTGGGGACTGCAGATGTAGAGGACATAAAAAACGTGGACTGTACCCTTCAAGTGTTTATTGGAGAGAAAGGGCACACAATGACACTTTTCTAAGCAACTTTATCAATAACAGCATGAACTAAAGACCAAAATGCTAAGATGTCACTAGATAAAAGTAAGAATTGTGCAACCCTGTCTCTACTAAAAATACAAAATTTAGCCGAGTGTGGTGGTGCGTGCCTGTAGTCCCAACTACTTGGGAGGCTGAAGCAGGAGGATCGGTTGATCCCAGGAGTTTGAGGTTACAGTGAGCTATGATGAAGTTCCTGCACTCTAGCCAGGGCCACAGAGTGAGACTATGTCTCAAAAAAAAAAAAAGTGAGAATTGTATACACAGAATTTGTTTATGTGGTGGACGAAGAGGAAGAAAGAATAGGAAAGATGTCAGATGAAAAACATAAAAACAAAAAACTGATCTAAGCTTAGGTGTGTTTCCCTCAAAATCTCTAAAATTATAAAATGAAGAAATGTTTCTTTTATTAGAAATAGAAAAGAATGACTTGGGGGTATTTGGGTTCCTTTTAGAAAGACTTTGATTCCTTTTCCTTCTCTCCTGTATCCTATTTCTTCCCTTCTATCCTCCCTTTGTCCTTGCCTTCCCTTCATCCCCCAGTAAGAGAATGTCGTCAGGCCCACTCTACTCTCAGTCTCAATGGTAAGGCTTGTATGGGGTAAGGAGGGCCAGGATCAGAGCCGAGTGCCCGGATATTCCTTAATTAACTGTGTGAACCTGAACAAATTGCTTCACCTCTCTGTGCCTCTGTTTTCTTGTGTATAAACTAGGAATAATAATATCAGCCCATAGGGTCGTTGTAAAGATTAGACAAACTAAAATAGGCAAAGTGTTTAGAACTGTGCCTGGCACTATGATAAGTGTTGCTATCATCATTGTTACTATATGTTGCATCTCAGCTTCTAACAGAAGCTTTCAGGTACATGAGAAGGAACTGGCTTGAGCCTTAGGCCTTAGCACATACAGAGTAAAAAGAGGTCATTAGTCTAGCTTCAGAGGAAAATAAGGAATAGAAAAGAGAAAATAATCATTTCATTTCTGTTCTCTCCTCTACCCACTTACAGGTACACTCAATGTGGATATTTAAAGAATTTCTAAAAATATTAACATTTATTAGCTTGTTTCTGTTTTTTAAAGAGGGCAATAGCTTTACCTGGTCTCTCCACTTTTATGACTTCTGCTCCAAGATCTCCTAAATTCATAGTAGCAAAAGGTCCTGCCAGGACTCTACAATGTTAACAATGATAAATAATTACCATCTTGAAAATTTTTATGTTAATTTTCTTCTTACTAGTCCAGCCGCACAGACCAGCCCCTATACTACCAGTAAGAATCAAAATTGTTAAAACTGCAATTTGGCCATATGTATCAAGAGCTTTAGAAAAGTACATCCCCTTTAATCTATCCCCTTTTGATATTTCTAGAGTTCTATCCTGCAGAAGAAATAGAAACTGAGGCAAAGATTTGTGTACAAGGAAGCCTAATTTCTAACAGTAAAATATTTGAGGATGATTAAGTAATTATGTGACATCTATGTAATAAAATACTATCTTATGTTTTCATTGAATTTTGAATGACATGGGAAAATATTCAAAATATAACATTATTTTTAAAATGTATAAAACTACAATTTTCAACATGGTTCCAATTTTTGTTTTTTAGAATTATACATAAATATTTAGATTGGGAAAATGCATACATTTTACGCTAATTATCTCTTACAGTGAAAGATTACAGGAATTTTTTTTTCTCCTCCAAAATTTCAACATAAACATGTAAGTATCCTCCTATAATCCACAAATAAATAAATGTTTCTGAGAGACGAGGAAAACCCAATCACCAAAACAGTATGGATAAACCAGTACAAACCTTGTTAGATCCAGAATTTTTACACCCTCCAATGGCTTTACATTGTCCATACCTGGCAAACACAAAAAATATTTGAAGAGTATTGATTACTAATTTTCAGAGGGAAGAATGCAGAATCTTTCATATTCTAAGTAGTATTTATTACTATCAAAAACAATATTTTTAGGGGGGAGTGGGGAGGGGGAGGAGGGAGGAGGGGATGGGTATATGCATACACAAAGAGTGCAATGCGTACCACCCGAAGGATGGACATATTTGAAACTCGGACTTGGGGGGGGGAGGGGGAGGGCAAGGGCAACATACGTAACCTAAACATCTGTACCCCCATAATATGCTGAAATAAAAAAAAAAAAACAATATTTTTTCTTCACAATGATTCCGCTTTATATGTAACACAGAAATCTTGCTCTTATCCAATTAAAAGTTGATCTGTAAAAATTAAAGGCTCTAATATCAGACTATTCACATCTACACTAAAGAATATTTGTCTAATGAAAAATAAAAAGGTAACTAAACAATGACATCCTAACAAGTAGGATACTGAAAGTAACAATAAAGATCTCTGCACATTTGTTCTTTCAAGACAGAGGAAACAATAAATTTTAACAGTGTATTAAACAATTTACAATCACATGTGTATTTCCCTTTTGCTCTTCATTCATCAGCTACAAAAATAAGTTGATAGATTAATAATTATATTAATAATTCACTAAACACATTTAACATCAAAATTAAATTAAAAAATCAAATTTTAGCCAAATGGTTTGCAAAGTTTAGATCATGATAACTGAGATGAAGATGAACTTAAGTCCATATGGGGAAAATGAACTACTGGTTCAATAAGGTATTTTTTAATAGATTTTATTTTTAGAAAAGTTTTAGTTTCACAGCAAAACTGAGCAGAAGGTACAGAGATTTCTCATATTTTCCCTGCCCCCACACATGCACAGCCTCCCCTACTTTCAACATCCCCCACCAGAGTGGTACATTTGTTATATCAATGAACATACATTGATGTATCATCATCATCCAAAGTCCACAGTTTACATTAGGATTCACTCTTGGTGTTATACATTTTATAAGTTTTGACAAATGTATGATGACATGTATTCACCATTGTATTATCATACAGAGTAATTTCATTGCCCTAAAAATCCTCTATGCTCCACCTATTCATCCCTCCCGCCTCCCAACCCCTTGAAACTCCTGATCTCTCTATTGCTGTCTCCATGGTTTTGCCTTTTCAAGAACGTCATATAGGTGGAATCATACAGTCTGTAGCCCTTTCAGATTGGCTTCTTTCACTTAATAATATATGTTTAAGTTTCTTCCATATCTTTTCATGGCTTGACAGATCTTTCTTTTGTGCCAAATAATATTCCATTGTCTGAATGTACCACAGTTTATTTATCCATTCACTTACTGAAGAACATTTTGGTTGCTTCCAAATTTTGGCTATTATGAATAAAGCTGCTATAAACATTGTGTGCATGTTTTTGTGTGGGCATAAGTTTTCAACTCATTTTGGTAAATACCAAGAAGTATGGTTGCTGAATCAGATGGTAACATTATCTTCAGTTTTGTAAGAAAATACCAAACTGTCTTCCAAATTGGCTGTACCATTTTTCATTTCCATCAGCAATGATTGACAGTTCAATATACTTTTGTAAAATTCTCGGTTCAAATTCTCCTTGGAGTTCCATTTTTTAAGAGTTCTCCATGTAGCTCCATGACCAGTGGACTAAGAATAATGGTTATAGAATTCACACATTTTCACATACACCAATATAGTCTTGAGATGGATCACAAGGAGTACGGTGATTCTTAGCGAGGGAGTCCACTGACCATACTGCTCTAGTAAACAATACTGGAAGCTCATACAATAGTCATTCTCCCCTTGAAATAAGCCAATTTATTATTTTATAATAAGAAACAGCTGTCACAGAAATAGGAAATATTTAAAGTTCATGTGATCAGTGCATTATTTTCTTGGAAGCACACTGATGTGGAAAACCAAATTATAATCAGAAGGTAAATTGATTACATATTGAGGATCAGAAAAAGGAAAAGTAGCTATAATAGTATTGAATGTGGTAGATTCTTAGAGCTACAGCTCCCAGGAATCACATTTCCAGATATTCACAACCTTGTATAATATGTTCTCCATCCATGTTGACTTTGGGCTTTGACATTTGCCTTTTTTTAGCCAATAGGACATTAGCAAAGTTGATGCTGGAAGAGGCTGGATAAGTGCTCACACATTGGGGTTTCACTTTTTGAAACCCTTGTGCCTGCATGTAAAGAAGCACAAGATGACAGAACACACAGAGAGAGGCTCAGCTGTCCCAGTTATTGTAGCAGTCCCAGCTGAGGCCCAGACATACAGGTGAAGCCATCTTAGCACACCCAGCCCCAGCCAAGCCACTAGCTCTCTGCAAGTGAACCCAGGTAAATCCAGCAAAAGAACTGCCCAGTCATCCTACAGAACTTTGAAAAAATGAATCGTTGTTGTTTTAAGCCACTAAGTTTTGGTGTGGTTTGTTACATGGCAATAGATAAACCAATACAATGACTATGGCAGAGATAGCCTATTGTAACAGCCAGAGTGTTTCTTTCAAAATGTAAAACATAATGTCCTTCCCTGCTCAAAATCTTCCAATGGCTTTCTACCAAACTTAGAATGAAACCCAACATCTTTCCGGAGCCCACGACATTCTGCTTGTTCTGGCCCCTGGCTACTTCTCCAATCCCTTGTCTCTCTCCCTCTCACTCTTCTCCAGCTACATCAGCCTTCTTGCAGTTTCGCGAACACATCTTAGGGCCTGTGACAGAGATGCATCACTCGGATTCCCCTTCAAGAAAGGACTTGCATCCCACGTTGTCTAGCAGTTAAGAAGAAAAAAGGACTTGCTGCCCACCTGCAAGGAGTGTGGTTGGCTTACCAGTAACAGCTTTGTCAGCTTTCCTCAGCTGGGAGTATAGGCTATTCCAGGTATTTCCTCCACGCAATGTGGAACTGTTGTGGCAGCCCTACTTGGGGTACTGGCTCTGGAACTCCCCACTTGGCTAGCAGAAACTTTGACAGGTCAGCATGTGCCTGATGGCTCCTCTGTCCAACCCGAATTCCCTCCTTTCCCTTTCACAGGTGTTACTCCCCAGTAAATCTTTTGCCCTTCTAACTGTCTTAATATCTGCTCTCCGGAAGACCCAAGATGTGATGGGGCCTTTGCACTTGCTAGTCGCTAGGCCTGGAACTCTCTTCCTGCATATATTTGCATGTCTTACTCACTTTATTCAAAGTTCAGCTGGGATATCATGTCAGAGAGACCTTGCCTGACCATCCTACCTAAAACAGAACCCCCCTGGATCTCTATATCTGCTTTATTTTTCCTTATAACATTTATCATTGCCTCACATTACATTATGTTTTTATTTATTTGTTTTATTACTGTCTTTCCCACTAGAATGTAATCTCAGTGAGGGCAGGACTTGTGTGTCTTGCATCCCCGTGCCTAGGACCGTGTTTGGCACGTAGTGGGCACTCACAAAGAATGAGTCGAAGGATCACTCTGAGAGGGAGTAAGGCAGACAGAGAGAGAAGGAGGGATTCATACACTTGATAATTGGGATGACCGTTAAAAGAGACCAGAAAAATCAGGTGGCTAATTTCCTCTCTCACCTGGACAGAGGTTGAATGGGGTGGGAAAAGAGGCAGTTAAACAAAGACACAGTGAGATTTCTCTGCCAAAGAAATCGATGGAAGTTTGCGGATACAGGTAATCTTAGCAACTAGAATGGAAACAAAAATTAGAGAAGGAAGGGAAACTGAGCAAGATAGCAGAAGAAAAGTTACCAGGGAAAAATTTCCATCAGCAAGATAGCTAAAAAAAATGTTTAATAACAAGAATAGTTAATTTTAGATTTTAAGTTACATTTGGTTCCTCTCCCTCTCTAGTTAAAGTCGAATCAACAAACTGATTCTGTAAAGCCTGGCACAAACGTAAGTGCCCTGCGTGAGTGGTTCTGGGGAAATCAAAGAAAAGGGGATGAATTCCACAGCTGAGGGAACAGAATAGCTGTGGAAGGTAGGATATGAACGAGTCCTCCCATTATGCAACCTGTGTTCCTACTAAGTGCTAATCTTTCTGTGAAGATGCAGTGACAAAAGGCATCATGTTCCCTCTTCCTCAAGGACTCCACGGTCTAATGGGGAAAACTGAGATGTACACTTACTATAATGATGGAGAACACACTCCTAGATTCAAGTTGTTACTCTGTTTACTAACTGGTAACCATGTTCTGCCTTGATTTCTCCATGTGTAAAATAGGGATAATACTGGTACTTATTTCATAAGGTTGTAAAAAATTAAATAAAACAACACCTTATAAGCATTTAGTCATAGTGCTCAATAAATGTCAGCTATTTTCAGTATGATTTCTGTCTTTTCTCAAAGCTTGCCCCACGTTCCTTAATTCAGTAAATGGCAATCCTACCCACTTGATTACCTAAGCTGAAAAACCCAAGCTTCTCTCTTCTCTCACTCTCACTTACTCAAGAACCACTTCCTACAAATTCTTTCACAAAAATATCTTTTGACTTGTTTCTCTTCTGCTCATCCCCACTGCCAACTCCATAGCTCAGGTCACCATCAATCTCTCTCTTAAATTGCTCCAACAACCTCCTACCAGTCCCCAGTCTTGGCTCTCTCTAAAACACTCTATGCAAATCCATCAACTCAGCTGGGCGTGGTGGCTTGCACCTGTAATCCCAGCAACCTGGGAGGCCAAGGCTTGAGCTCAGGAGTTTAAGACCCCATCTCTACTAAAAATAGAAAAAATTAGCCAGGCAACTGAAAATGGAAACAAAAAAAATTAGCCAGGCATGGTGGCGAATGCCTATAGTCCCAGCTACTCAGGAGGCTGAGGCAGAAGCATCGCTTAAGCCCAGGAGTTTGAGGTTGCTGTGAGTTAGACCGACACCACAGCACTCTAGCCTGGGCAACAGAGTGAGACTCTGTCTCAAAAATAAATAAATAAATAAAAAATCAGTCA